TCTTGTGTCTGGTTTCTATATTGCATTCATGGAATATTACCTATAAAACATACACTGAAAGGTCACATAACTGTGGGTGTTAAGGACACAAAATGTGAAAATCGACATCCTTCTGTGTGTGTGCTTGTAGTCTTGTCCTGCTTTCCTCCTCTTGGTCCGCAGTACTGTGGAGTGTATGTCCTAGATTTAAGTGTGTGGGTGAGATTTAAAAAAAGCAAAGAAACAACAGTATGTTGCAGAGCCTATGTGTGTGTAGATCTGGTGCAGAATTGGAGGAGGTGAGGGGGCTGTTTTGCTACACCTTATCTGTAATCGAGCAGATCTACACAGATGAATGGTGTATTGTTATAGTATATGTAAAATAATCAGAGTACCAATTAAATGATATTTAATCATTCGTCTTTGTCTTCTTTGTTTATGAAAAGAACATCAGATAAATAGCCCAACTAAGTACACGGATAAATTAGTTTTAGTGTACTGGTGCGCATAGAGCGAAGTTTACAGTGCTGCATAAACTTTGCGTCTGACATATTTCACACAAAGATGCACACACTCTGTAAACAGCTGTCTGACAGATCGGTATGCCTTATATGTCAGTTTCCAGCAGTAAAACAGAAGTTACATTTCTTCCCCTTCTCACCACAAACCCATGAAAAGAGTGTAAGTAGTACTCTGTAACATTTTAAGTAGAATTACACATTTAAGTGTACATTTATAAACAGCACCAAATAAAAGGGAAGTGGAAATATGAAAAAAAAAAAACGTTTTTTTGAGAGATGAGTCTATTTCCTGTGTTTTAATAGTAGATCAGGGCAGCTGGCAGGGGCGTCATGCACTCATTATTTTTGAGGGGGCACACATTTGCACTTTGTTGTTTCTGACGAGAGAATTCGCCAGAAAAAGATATTCAGTCAGCGAGCGAGTGAAGAAAACACCGGCATTTTAACGATGACTCATCTGAACACCTCTGATTGGTCATTGCATTCAGAAGCTCAACAGCATCGTGTGTGATTGGTCACAATCACAATCACAGTGCTGTAAAAAACGCGTCTGTCTCTGGCTCAGCGCCAGCCAGCGAACAAATGAGGCACTGAAGTTATAATCACGGCCGATGTGATTGTATTAAATATAGAAAATATTAATCGGCTATTTTTTTTTGTCTTTTGGAAGCTGCATTCAAAATCCACTTGGCTCAAAAATCTTAATGGATTTCACTTTGAATGGGCATGACGCCTCTGGCTGGCATGATTTAGAAAATGAGAGATTCCTTATATATTTATGTCCCTACGCAATGTTAGATGTTAGACTGGGTAATTTACCTCATATAGATCAAGAAAAGAATAGATAATGCTTTTATCTATTGTAGGAAAATGGGGGATCTTTTCCTCCCCCTCTTGATCACTCTGCTGCAATGCAGAGGAACATAAGACACTTAAGACCCAAAAGTGTCACGACAATGTCACTGTGACACTGCCACAGAATCATACACACTCTCACACACATTTTCTCTCAATCGCTCTAGATCATCAGTGAAATTTCCTTGGTCTAGAAATGTGAAAGAATAAAAACTTGTATTCTATATGTATCACCTTTGACCTTTACATGCATCTTAAAGGGGTCCTACTATGCTCTTTTACAAAGTCTTGATTTTGTTTTGGGGGTGTACTAGAACATGCTCTCATGCTTGGTGGTTCGAAAAACGCATTATTTTTCACATAATTTACATTATAACAATACCTTTCTCCCCAGCCTGCCACAAACGGTTCGATTAGTTCCGGCTTTGATGAAGGTCCGCCTTCCGAAAAACAAAATGTGTTGTGATTGGTTAGCTGTCCCAGTGCGTTGTGATTGGCGAACAGCTTAGACGGTGTTTCAGTATTTGCTCCGTCTTTCAACAAAAGCTTTTGGCTAATCCGGCACTACTCACTCGTGTTTTGGAAGCTGTCCTCAGTAAAATGCGCAGCACACAATAGCAAATTGGGGTTATAATGCTCAGGAACAGAGTTAAAAAGTAAATTGCAACCACTGTTTCCTGACATCATCCGCTTTCGGAAGCCCAAACAAAGACGTTTGGCGCACGGAGGTGAAAAAAACAGCGTTTCAGGCGGTCGCACACAGAACGAGAAGCGCAGCGTCGCGCCACGTCTTTAAAATTCAAATACATTATTTTCTATGAGTGTAGGCACACCGGCGGCGCCGTTCGGCATCTGTCCGCGGCGCCCAGCTACGTCGTGTTATACTTGTAAGAATTGTTCTAGACCAGCGGTTCTCAATTCCAGTCCTCGCGTACCCCCGCTCTGCATGTTTTGCACGTCTCTCTTTGTTAACACACCTGATTCAGATCATCTCGTTAGAAGTGAGCTCCGTGCATCAACTGTGTTCCGACTGACATGGTCCCTACAGTGTCCATTGCGCCCTACTCCCTGAGCAGGGGAAATCCGTTGAAGTTTACTTCACTTCGGAATATTCATTTACAGATTTGCGCTGCGCCGCTGCCTGCAGCGTCTTCACACACAAACGAAACTTACTAGAGAAGCGTGAAGTGGGACATAATATACCTCTGTAAATAAATACAATTTAAATTCACGTCTAGCACACTTAAATGCCCTTTGTATGGAACATATACGCTCCCTTCAAACTGGAATCATGGAGGAATATCCGGTAATGTCCACTTCACAGGGCACTTACAGTCAAATATAACAAACGTATGAAGCAATAAGAGAAACATACAAAATGTGCAGAGCGGGGGTACGCGAAGACTGGAATTGAGAACCGCTGTTCTAGACATGCCAAAAATTTGATGCTACATACAGCACAGCAGCTCTTCTTCTTGGTTTTCTCTGATGCACTAACTCTGCAGCAGCACTTCTTCTTCATCGTCTCGTCTGAAGCACTCACTCAACCAAGCGTTCTAACCACAACCTCGCCCCTCCCCACCCCCCATCCATTCGAATTTCTGTAGGCGGGAATTATTTGTAATGATATTCTAATGGACCGCTTTGTGATATCACAAAGCCCGGAAAACAAACGCTGTAGTCCAAACGAGCCGTTTGTTGTAGTTCTTGAAAAGGGATTTAAAAAAAACGAAATATCTCCCTTTGGAGTGGACTTTGAGATTTGTAACTTTCTAGATCTTTTTAATGCCCAAACATACACGCTACACACTGACTAAAATTTAAAAAGTGAAAAAGCATAATAGGACCCCTGTAATTATGATCTTTCTTTAATTTATTATATGACCTAAAAAGATTAAACTGTTTATAATTTACAAAATGTATTTATTGATAATTTATTTATCTACAAGAACCATGCGCAGTAATTACTATTCTCATGTAGGCAATTTCTGCCTACAAGCAGCCTAATTAGAGATGTTTTGATTAACAATTATAAACTCAAACACGCAGCTAATTATCATTAACTCAGTGCGGTCAAGTACTTTGAAGAAGCCTACTTAGGGCTGTGTGGAAGCACTCATGCACTCAAATTGGAGTATAGACAGTCTGTTACTAGAAAGGTAGGTTCCAAGCTTGAACTATCCAGCACTTTAACTGGCTTTTAATTCTCTCCCTTTCGTTTTCTTATATACATTTTAATACCAGTTTTTAAATGCAGAGCTGATTCAACGAGACTTTCAAGTTATGTAATCAAAAATGGACTCTATTTACATTTTTAATTGCCTGAAATCCAAAAAGTGCTGTCTTCATTAACTATTTTTCTTTTGGCTTACGTCATTGAGCCCCTCCCACTGACCGCATGTCATATATAGAATCCACACCCAACTGCTAGTGGTCCTTTCTGTCATTTTCATGGTATGAGAAAGGTATGGAATTTGTAAAAAAAAAAAAAAAAAAAAATCTCATTTCGTTTATATCTTTTCACCTTATAAATATGTCGCATTCACGAAGAATGAAATTGGTTGCGTATGATTTTGTTGAATAAGGCATAACTACTGTTGCAAATCTGTGGTAAAAACTAAAGCACAAACCTTGTTCAGAGAAGTAAAGTGTACAGCGGCGTCAACTACATACACCCCCGCAAGAGAACAATTCGTCCTCTTTAATAAAGAATCTGCAAAACAAGCAACCTAGATAGCATCAGCTGCTTCCAAAATATGTCCAGCTACCTAACGTGCGGCTGCCATGTAATCAAAAACCTTGCCATCTGCTTTTATAGTTAAAAGTCGGTTTAAAAATTACATACAATGCTGCGACATGTTATTATGATGTTTAGGAGGTCTTTAAACTAGTTTTTGTTTTCTGAATATGCAAATGTATGTTATCTAAGAAAGAACGATGATTAATTAATTGATAGAAGATGCATGTGCGTGTAGGCCTCTATTCCATATCGTCAGCTCAATTATGTACTTGATTACAGCCTAGCATTTGTTCAACATAAACCTTATATATATATATATATATATATATAATGTAGGTAGAGGAGATAAAATTTACAATTTAGACCATGATATCAGAGTGGCTGATAGAGAAATAGAGCAAATGAAAGCAAATGAAGAGAAAGGGATAGAGGGAGTTAAAATGATGAATGTGTCTCCTATTTGGGACAAGGTGTCCGTAACTTTCAGGTACTCCAGAAAACAATCTCTCATCCTTGCTCTCTCACTCTGTTCTGGGTCACATCGTCTCCTGGGGACGTGGAAGCAGGGCAACGCCAGCCCTCCCTCCCCTTTTCTTCATATCCCTCACACAGTCTCAATCTGTAATACACTCTTTAATTACTGAGCTGAAGATACTTAATCACAGAATCGCATCTCTAAAATTCACTCTCTGTGGATTCAACCTGGCTGTCGTTGAAAATATAACTTTAAAACATTGAGGGGTTCAGAAAAAAGTTACAGAGCTAATTATAAACTATTGGTTTATCCTAAAGTACTTCTACCTAAACCTAAGCTGCACTTGAAATATTTGCATCATGAAATACATTTGAATTGAACAGAATTGAATTGAAATGAACCACATAGGAAACCATTATACATAGCGCTGACTACCATACAGTTAATAGTTTTATTTCAACAGTGGTCAACCCCATAGGTATCCTATGGATAACCACATTAGAGAAGCAAGTTTTCATACACAAAGGAGGATAAAATAGGAAGTTGAGGCACTAGTGAGGTTTGGAAACCAAAGTGAACACAATAACATTACACAAGTAAATTTTACTCAAATGATACAGTGACAATTAATACTTCAGACAAACTACTTATACATTCCTCATAAATATACATTAAGCCCTCATATTGTAATTATAACATGGAAAGTGAACAGATTGGCAGTTTGCACATAAGGTAAGTAAATTAAACATTACATCATCATCAAGTGCAACGAGAATACCAGCTCAGTTGCTAAATACTAACTATCAATCCAAAGTTACTCTTTCTGGTTTTAGTAGAAGTCATTGTCCAAATGACAGACAGCAGTATACAAGGAAATATAATCCAGATATGAGAGGACATCAAGAAAATGCCACCAAATGAACATAATGGGCTCAAATTCACACCAGTTCCCATAATTAGAAATTGTCCTAATAAAATATAGTGCTCTGGGGTATTGCATAATATATATCATATTGTATAATGGTTAAGTTAAGTAACATCTCACTGGTTCTAAAATGTTCTTATTTAAATGACAGCTGGAAGTGCTACAGTGTGCCTTTAAAGTGTGTCCACACACAGCTAAACGAGGTCTTTGGAAGAAGTATTTGGCACAAAATAAATGTCTGAGTGTGAGCATTTTGTTCCCTTGGTGTTCCAAAAATATGTCTGTTGCGTCACGTTAGCGTAGGAATGGTTGATTACAGTCCCAGTTACACTGGGTAGTGATTTTTGAATGTGACGTGAAAATGCATCGCTCTCGAATGATCAATAACAGATTTAATTGCTCATGTGACAAGACAAAAGCAGGACGGCAGATGCTACAGGACTGTAGCCTCTTCCATGGCACTGACCCATCTGGAATAGAGCAGAATTTTCGCATTATGCAGTAGCAGAACATAATATATATTTGTGCTAACGTGTTATATATAACATTTTAATGTTTTTGAAAAAAGTCTTTTATGCTAAAAAAGGCTGTATTTATTTGAGAAAAATAAAGTAAAAACAGTAATATTGTAAAATATTTTTACAAACTTTACATTTTATTTACATTTTCTTAAATATATTTTAAAATGTCATTTATTCCTGTGATTTCAAAGCTGAATTTTCATCAGTCAATACTCCAGTGGTTAATGACGCATGATCCTTCAGAAATCATTTTAATATACTGATTCGGTGCTTGAGAAACATTACTTATTATTATCAACAGTTGTGCTGCTTAATATTTATGAAATGGTGATACTTTTTTTTTTTCAGGTTGCTTTGATAAATAGCAAGTTCAAAAGAACAGCATGTATTTGAAATCTTATGTAACAATATTAACATCTTTACTGTCTGATCTATTTAATGAATCCTCCTTGCTGAATAAAAGTAATAATTTCTTTCAAAAATATATAAAACTTACTTGTCCCAATGCTATATGTACACATTATAAATTGCTGTATCGTGTGAATGTAATATGTATTTTAACCTCAGTGCAGTGTGACTGTCCTGGGCTCTGAAAGTGTAGAAGAGAGTGCTTTTGTGGTACAGCTGAAACATGCTGCTCTCCCCTTCAACCTCTGACCTCACAGAGAAACCCAAGAGAGGAAGGGTCTCGCATGCAACCCTCTCCTTATATAAAACAAAAGGACACAGAGAGATTAGGAGCTGCATGTTGCAAGTTAATGTGTGCAAAAACGTGACTGTGTGCATTACCTCAGGCTGTGGGTATGCGTAGAGAACTTTATCTTTCAGGAGGAACCACAGGCTTCTCCAACTTCTCTTGCTGTTCCTGCACCTCTGCAGGGTTCCTCTCATCACTCCATCGGACACTGTCTCCTAGGCAACAACACATGATGTTTCACCCCAAATCCAAAGGAAAAAATAAAACATTAAATTAATAAAAATAGGAAGGGATGTAATTGTAATTGAAAATAATGCAGTGCTGAAAATTGTAATGGTCTTAAAATAAGACTCTTTTAATAGCAACACTTAATAAAACTTGATTTGTGTTATAATCAAACAATTCAGTGTGAGATCAGAGTAAATCATGATCCACTGGACTGATATTTAGTCCAAAGATATTAATCTAGAGGTTACCTGATTGAAAGACAGTTGGCCTTTGCGGCTTCTCCACAGACTCGATGGATGAATGTTTTGGAAGACAGAAGAGAGAGGTCGACTGGAGCTCTCGGTTATTGTGGCAACATCTCTCAAACAAATGCACACACAATTATGATGAGAGTCACGCATAACTATGTTTAATTAAAACTAATTTAATTAAAAATATTGTGGTTGTACCATGCTTACGCAGCTCAGTGTAACAATGATCACACACTTTGGCACGTCTATTCTTCATATATTTGAGGGGGAATTTGTTCCTGCAACAATCTCTGCAGAAAATCTATAAACAATATAAGATGAGAAAATCACAATAAATAGAGCTTATGAGTGGCTCTCGATGCAAAATGAACATTTGTTGAGAAGTTATTAACCCTCAGGTCATCCAAGACGTAGAGGAGTTTGTTTGTCATCTGAACAGATTTGGAGAAATTTAGCATTACATTACTTGCTCAACAATACATCATCTGCAGTGAATGGGTGCCGTCAGAATGAGACTTGAAATAGCAGATAAAACATCACAATAAAACACAAGTAATCCCCACAACTCCAGTCCACCAATTAACGACTTGCTGTGTGCTTGTGATAAACAAATCCATTATTAGGAGGTTTTTTATTTCAAACTGTTGAGCCTCTTTCCAGATTATTGCTTTCTCCAGTGAAAAAGTTCTCTCATTTGAATCAGGAGAGAAATATGTACAGATCAAGCACTGGTTACAAGTGCTTGGATTATGGATGTTTTGTCCAGAAGTGACTGTTTGAAGGTAAAAACATCATAATGATGAACTTGTTTATTACAAACATGCTGCTTTTATTAGCTGTTTGGGCTCTCATTCACTGCAGAGGATTCACTGGTGAGCAAGTGATGTAATGCAACATTTCTCTAAATCTGTTCCAATGAAGTGACAGACTCATCTACAGCTTGGATAGCCTGAGGGTAAGTAAATTTTCAGCAAATTTCATTTTTAGGTGAACTATTCCTTTCAATGTATTTGTACCTTGCCGCAGGCATGGCAGTGATGTCGTCTGTTTGTGAGGCTGAAATGTGAGTGACAGTTCATGCAAACTGTCACCTGGGAAACAGACAGCAGAGGAGGAGCGTTCTCGCCGAGACACATCTCTGGACCATCCACTAACTAAAACACAAGACACATATAATTTCACAACAGGAAACAAAATGTCAACTCTTTCAGGTGTTGACATTTTAATCACACTTTATTTAAAGCTTCCTCACCCCAAAACAGTCTACTGGGTCTCCTGATACGGGGCCGAGATTCACTAATGTCCGACTCAGTGTAGCAAACCAGCCGTCTCGTTCAGTGCAGGAGCTGCACACATGAACACATGCATCAGTCACACTGCACACACATACACTACATATGTATATGTGAATGTTTGAGTTTGTGTATGTCACTTGCTTGGCAGACAAAGTGATGCTTATATCTTTCACGTCTATCTTCAATGCACTCTGAGCGTTCTCTATTGGTGGCTTGCTGACCTGAAAGACAAAAAAAGTGGAAAGGATTTAATAATTGTAATTCACTCCCTGTCTGGGGTTCATACAATTAAATGAGGCACTTAAGGTTCTACAAGAAGAGAGGCGAAAATGAAAGAAGATCTTTTAATAGCAACACTTAATAAAACTTGATTTGTGTTATAATCAAACAATTCAGTGTGAGATCAGAGTAAATCATGATCCACTGGACTGATATTTAGTCCAAAGATATTAATCTAGAGGTTACCTGATTGAAAGACAGTTGGCCTTTGCGGCTTCTCCACAGACTCGATGGATGAATGTTTTGGAAGACAGAAGAGAGAGGTCGACTGGAGCTCTCTGTTATTGTGGCAACATCTCTCAAACAAATGCACACACAATTATGATGAGAGTCACGCATAACTATGTTTAATTAAAACTAATTTAATTAAAAATATTGTGGTTGTACCATGCTTACGCAGCTCAGTGTAACAATGATCACACACTTTGGCACGTCTATTCTTCATATATTTGAGGGGGAATTTGTTCCTGCAACAATCTCTGCAGAAAATCTATAAACAATATAAGATGAGAAAATCACAATAAATAGAGCTTATGAGTGGCTCTCGATGCAAAATGAACATTTGTTGAGAAGTTATTAACCCTCAGGTCATCCAAGACGTAGAGGAGTTTGTTTGTCATCTGAACAGATTTGGAGAAATTTAGCATTACATTACTTGCTCAACAATACATCATCTGCAGTGAATGGGTGCCGTCAGAATGAGACTTGAAATAGCAGATAAAACATCACAATAAAACACAAGTAATCCCCACAACTCCAGTCCACCAATTAACGACTTGCTGTGTGCTTGTGATAAACAAATCCATTATTAGGAGGTTTTTTATTTCAAACTGTTGAGCCTCTTTCCAGATTATTGCTTTCTCCAGTGAAAAAGTTCTCTCATTTGAATCAGGAGAGAAATATGTACAGATCAAGCACTGGTTACAAGTGCTTGGATTATGGATGTTTTGTCCAGAAGTGACTGTTTGAAGGTAAAAACATCATAATGATGAACTTGTTTATTACAAACATGCTGCTTTTATTAGCTGTTTGGGCTCTCATTCACTGCAGAGGATTCACTGGTGAGCAAGTGATGTAATGCAACATTTCTCTAAATCTGTTCCAATGAAGTGACAGACTCATCTACAGCTTGGATAGCCTGAGGGTAAGTAAATTTTCAGCAAATTTCATTTTTAGGTGAACTATTCCTTTCAATGTATTTGTACCTTGCCGCAGGCATGGCAGTGATGTCGTCTGTTTGTGAGGCTGAAATGTGAGTGACAGTTCATGCAAACTGTCACCTGGGAAACAGACAGCAGAGGAGGAGCGTTCTCGCCGAGACACATCTCTGGACCATCCACTAACTAAAACACAAGACACATATAATTTCACAACAGGAAACAAAATGTCAACTCTTTCAGGTGTTGACATTTTAATCACACTTTATTTAAAGCTTCCTCACCCCAAAACAGTCTACTGGGTCTCCTGATACGGGGCCGAGATTCACTAATGTCCGACTCAGTGTAGCAAACCAGCCGTCTCGTTCAGTGCAGGAGCTGCACACATGAACACATGCATCAGTCACACTGCACACACATACACTACATATGTATATGTGAATGTTTGAGTTTGTGTATGTCACTTGCTTGGCAGACAAAGTGATGCTTATATCTTTCACGTCTATCTTCAATGCACTCTGAGCGTTCTCTATTGGTGGCTTGCTGACCTGAAAGACAAAAAAAGTGGAAAGGATTTAATAATTGTAATTCACTCCCTGTCTGGGGTTCATACAATTAAATGAGGCACTTAAGGTTCTACAAGAAGAGAGGCGAAAATGAAAGAAGATATAAAAAATTATAAATAGACAAAATAAATACATGAATGATGTTTTAACATTTTCATACATATAATAAATGCAAACTAGAATAAGATGAAGATCTGACATATTTTACATATTTTATTTTCTTATTATTTTATTCCTTTTTGGATTATAAATTTTTCCTGTATTTTTTTCTTTTAGTTCTGTTTTCTCATTTCATTTTATGCATTTTAATTTCTTATTCTGTTACATGTTAGTTTTTACTATTTATATGACATTTACGGGTTTTCGATAAAGCACTTTGTAAAGACATTTTTTTTAAAGGCTATATAAATAATGCTATACATAGATACAACCCGTGTTATTTTAGTATTATTCATATATTATTAGACTATTTCTTAATATTTTTAATACAGTTTTAATTTAATATTTTCCGTTTTCATTTCATTTTAGTAAATTTGTTAAATGCTTGTCTTTTTTGCTTTATCTTTATTTCAGTTTTAATTTAATAATTTTGGTGCTTATTTTGGATGGTTTTTAATAGTTTTAGTTAAAAATAACAACACTGCTTATAATTAGTGTCTTGAGCACTAAATACACATTAGTGTAAAGTGCATTAGTGTTCTCCCTATTGAGAAAAGATGCTTTCCAAGAACTATTATACATGAATAAACACTATAAGTGTCCGTGAATGTTGTCAGCTTTACCTCCATCCCTGCCAATGGTAATCTGTTGATGAGTCTGTATTTGCCATCTTGCTGAGGATATGTGTACAGCATTATGTCATTCATCTGAAAATGTAAAAAGTAAAAAAAAAAAAAATTTTTTAAAGTATAACATTCACAACATGAGCACAAATAACTACTTTGATATTTGCATACCACAACAGTTAATCTGAGTGGGTCACTGTAACAGATGTTCACCACAAGGGGGCGCTATGAGGTTGCTTTGCTGCATCACTGCTCTGTCCATCAGTGACCACAGGCAATGTTTGTATTAAGGCAGGTTGTTACAGCAAGGCATGATAACATAGTGATTTAGAACAAACTCAAATGTGCATTTAAGCTGAGATTTATCAAAGAGAATACTAATTCGCTAAGACACTTCTCTGTGAAATAGAATTATTAGTCATCAATTACTCAGTCTGATGCCATTTTTATTTGTTCAGACAACTGCCAAATCATGTGCACATTATTCTGGGTTATCATAGGCAGTTAAGAATAAATCTATACAGCTAAACACAACCAAAATACATCGCTGTAGACAGGATGTTGTGCAAACACTGGATTTAGAAGTGCTTTTCTACCATCAGATACTGCCTGATAAGGCAACCTATTTTGTCTTCTGAAATGTTAATCAGTGCTGCAAACGAAATGTCACAGACTATCTCCTGCATCAAGCAATAAAATATGAGGGATATTCAAGTTCAGCACTCTGGGGGCCACATGCCCGTCTCAGCGCACAACTGTCCGTCTGACTGAAAAGTCTACAGTATCCAGTATTTCTGACAGCCCATCTCACGTCCATCCGGTCACCCTCTGTTCTGTTATCTCAACACATTGCTTGGCCCTGTTCCCACAGACTTATTCTGGGGTGAGAACAGCACCGTAATAACAATAGCACATGTAGACATAAACACACACAGAACAACATCCTGTCAGGAAACTAAAAACAAGTAAAATAGCTCACAAACACAAAGGAGAGGCACTAGAGACTATACAGAAAGAAAGCAACTTTGGCAATCTCATCTCAGCTACTAAAAGTCATATATACTCTAACGTCTTTCTTCCCAAAAAAATCTTGTATCTTTGATAATTAAGTTGCAAAATTAATGTAAATAAAATAAAATCACATACCAAGAAAAGGTGACGTGGCTGCTTGCACTTTCTGCTGACCTTCATCAAAGTGCCCTCTTTCACAAACACCTAGAGCAAAGATAAAGATAGAGATTAAGACAACCTTACTCATCATTACAGCTTTAAAAACCCCCCAAAATTCATAAAAATTCATAAAATTTGATTGGATGAAGGGTATGTGATCAGTGAGCCATTGAATTTCTCACTCTCCCAGGTTGTAAGAGATCTGTCAGACCCAGAACACTGTGTTCAATATGGACCAAACGCAGGAGATACGCCTGAGAAAGAGAAAAATAATGCAAAAATGCCCTTACATGGCACAGCAGTGTCATTTACACAAACTGCTTTGGTTCCACACACACAGACTATCTATAAGCACATTAGGCCAAAAAACACATACTTACTCCATTCTTAAGGCTGTCATTGACATGATGAGCAATATCTGAGACCACAACCAAAGCATCTGAGGGGAAAGAGAGTTATAGGTAGAGAGAGACAGATTAATATTTTATACATGTACATTTTCAACATACATAAAAATACACACAAACATATAATAAATACTACATATATTATTGTACATAGAATTTAATGTATATTAAATATCTGTATTAAATAATTATTGAATATATTACATATTTCCTTAAAATAGGACATCTCAATAAATTATTAAAAACTAGATAAATAATAATGACACAATAATTAGAACATATATAAAATTAATTAATAAAAATAGATAAAATAATAAATATAAATACATTTATATTATGTCAGCTTCCCTTTCCTTACAAACAGATACTCTCTTAGAGCAGCACCTCATAAATAAATGACCCTCATATATAAATGATGCAGAAAGGCTTGTTTAACAAGGTTATTGAAAATCCATGATGGGGTCAAAGGTCATTTGCCTTTTGTGAAACTATCTAGAAGATCAGAGATATGTTGTTGTTTAAGCAAATCAATTATACACACACTGAGAGATAAAACCAAAGGACTCGTTTGTAATTGCAAACATGTCAAGATAAGAATCAAACATTAGTTTCTTAAAATTGATGAAGCCTACATTAGGAAACAAAATGGCTCTCTCATTTACTGTAATCCAAGAGACACAGATAAAAACAAGATAAGAAAAAAGTATACTGCTGCTGCTGTTAAGATACTGTTGTCTGTGAGTAATGCTGAGATTTACTTTGCGTATTTTCAAACTCTCTGGAGTCTGGTGAGAAGTTGTTCAGGTAGTCTGTTGGAAAACAATAAAAATAAAGCAATATTAAGCTATACTACAGGTCTTGGTATAAAAATTCCAGGAAAAAATAAATATGTATTTTAAAAAATATATTTAAATTGATAAGAATTAATAAGGATATAAAGTTATTAGTTAAAAAGTATTTAGTAGTCACCTGTTAGCAGCATACGGTATTGTAGGATGCGCACAATGACCTGCAGCAACTGCTTTTTCAGGGTCCCTGCATCTGGTAGCTGAGATATAAAACACACGCTACAGTACATAGATATATATTTAAATACAGGCCATCTGAGTAAATGAACACACACAACTCAAACACATTTACGTGTAATAATACAATACAAAAACACACTCAAATCACAGTACAGTCTGAACACATGTACTTAATGACAGTGGCAGGTTGATGGATATGCCTAATAATAAGAAAAGATTTGGTTCAGTTAAAGTTGTCAATCAATGAAAACAAAAACATCATATATCCCTTACTGTGCTTTGTATGTGTTCCAGATAGTTCAATTTTTCATCATAATGACTGATGTAAGAAGAGAACATGGAAAACTCTGTCTTCTTTGCCAGGATGATTTCAGCAATACCTTCATTCTGATCCCTGATGTGTGGAGTGAAATGCATAAAACAGATGACATGATGACAGATGGACATTATTTGAGGATGATAAACAATTGAGGGTAGCATATGCACATGCATGTGTGTGGGTAAGAGTGTCTTACCATTCTTTTAAGCGAGTCTCCAGTAATGTGTGGATATTTTGGTGGAGAGTATAAATATCAGGTACCTCTGTCCACACTGTCATCAGCCTCTCATCCGCTTCAACTGACTATTGTGTGAAAGTGAGGGGGAAAAAATAGAGATCACCTTCATCGCTATTTTTCTGTCTTCACACAACTCTTTTTCTACTAAAATCCACACACAATGTCAGTGAGAAATATGAATGATCCACCTCATTGAGAAGTTGTAAAGTCTTGACATGCCTTAAAATGAAGAAAAAGAAGCATGGTCATAATAATATAGCTATTTCTATTCAATTCAGACATTTTTCAAATAAATTTGCACCCACTAAATGGTTATTATTTTATCAGTAATGAAATTAATTTCTGCCAATCAGCTCATAGGCTTCAGCTGTTGTTTTCATGACTTACTGGGCCTCACTGTCCAGAAGCTCTTTGGCACTATAGAAAGCCCTGGAACAGTTGACATTCTGAAATAAAATGGCAACTGACTTACAATAAATTAAAACAAATCAATGCAGGACACACAGAAACACTCATAACAAGCTTACCAGTCTGTCAGATGCCTTTGTCTTTTTCTCTTGTGTACAAGTCACACCCACAGACACACCCATTGTTCCATCTTGTCTCACATTAGGAGAACAGAAAGTGTAGAGGCTAAATAACAGAAAAAGTAGAATCATGACACAATCACAAAAAAAAAAAAAAAAAAAAAGAAAAAAAAACCTTTTCGTTATCAGGAATGCAATACTTTGAGCTTTTAAGGACTAACATACAGATTAAGAGGGTTTTTTTAATAAAAAAAAAAATTTGTTTGCCTGTTATTAGATCTAACCAAAAGATCTAACATGCGTTTCATATGCCTGATATTTACCTAAGAATCGCCCAACAAGCTTTCAATATGTTAAATAACACATTTGCTTATGATTCCAACTTTTTATGCTGTTTATAGCGTGTCTAGTTTCTCTAAACTGAAACATATCGAAGAAGAAAAAACATTTATTTTCCACAATGGTATTGAAATTAATCCTGAGCTTCATGTTAACAATAAAAACATAATAAAACAATATATCAATATGAAGAGTTCCAATGCAAAAGCCTCTAAAGGCCATCTTGGTCTAAAATGAGATAACGATACTGAGTGAATGCTCTCCACACATAGTATATGTTCATCAAGTACTTTCACTTCAAATGCACTTAATACCAGCCTCAACCCATTCAGAAGTACCAGTACTTACATAGAAACCTATAGATAGTAGCCAGAAAGAAATGCTAAATTTAAAGAAAATCGTCAGACGTACTTAGAGGCTTTTTCATCTGAACTGTTCATATATAAACAATTGTACCTATCTGTCTCTTGCTCAGATGGCCGACTTTTGCCCTGGAAGCCCGGCAGACTGCTCATGTCCACATAACCATCAGTATCACTGGGTGAACTCTGATTTCGTTGACTCTGAATGACTGGATTCAGGAGGCGAATCTGCACATTCTCATAGTGAGAAGCAGCATTTTGAACGTTCTCGTAATCTGAAGAGTCTGTATTGGGAGATGAGAAAGATCGAGGTTTGGAAAGGGGATGGGGCTCAAAGAGAGACCCTAGATCCATAGAAATGGTGCTTGAAGCCAAATCATTATTAAGGGTGAAGTTTAGTCCCTGTTTTTGTCTATTCTTTTGAAAGACAAAGGAAGAAGGGGACATAGGTGGTGTGCAATCTGGAGTGCTCTGCAACTCCGGGCTGCCCATGTTATGCCTGATAAAATCCAAGCGTTTGCATGACCCTTGCGGACTTGACTCAGACGGGGACCTGGAGGATACGGAGCGATTATCCATAATGCTTTTACGATCTGATTTCCTAAGGAATCGTAACGGCAGAAGGTATCGCTTGAACCCAAAATCAGGCTTCTTGCAAGAAGCAGAGACTTCGTTCGGGAGGGATGGAGAACTTTTTCTGATTGGTCGCTTTGTGATGGATGCCAGTTCAAAAGGGGGTGGTATATCAACTCGAGTGACTTTAGCTAAGTTTGAGGTGCCTTGTGAAAGACATCCTAATGAGCCTGTCAGTGCAGGTCTACTATCTCCGAGGAAACACTGGTCTGTATAGAAGGAGCTTGGGTGTAGCAGAAGCCGCCTATTTCCTGTTGCAGGGCTACTCATTAGGTCAACTCTCTTACTGGGGGTTTCCACAGATATAGAGCGAGTCATAAAATACTTCCTGTTCTGAAGGAAGTCTTTGGCTTGGATTTTTGGCTCTGTTTCTTCGTACACATGATCTACTGTGAGTTCTTTTCCCTCAGATCTACTCAAGTGGTCAACCCCTTCTTCTTCTTCTTCCCCTTCCCCAATGCTCTCTTCTTCTTGATTTTGTTGTAAACTTTGGCCTTGGCTTTCAGATTGCTGTTGAATGAGTGAGAAAGCATTGATGGCATCCAGATTTAAGGTGGCAGGTATCGTTTCATCATGTTTAACCACATATTTGCTACAGTAGTTGTGATTTGTATCTGCTATATCATCATCTGAGACCATTGCAGAGCCAGAAAATGGCTGAGGAGAAGAAGAAGAATTTGAAAAAGAAGTCAGATCGGACTCAAGGAGAGTTTCACCTCCACTGTTTGATGAAGGACAGTCTGGAGAGTCAACAGCAGCTGAAGGATCCTGAGATGGACTGTCGTCTGATAAATAATGGTTTCCTTTTTCTTCCATTTGCTCTTTTTCTAACTGTATTTCATCATCCTCTTCCTCAATGGAAGTTGAAGACAAATCAGAGCCGTTTAATCCCTCCTCCAAAGTAAGCATCATAATATCTCCATTGGCGTTGTCCTCTGCTTCTGTTATTTGGAGAGGTTCTGTTTGTTCAAAAAGGTCACACTCGGAAAGTCCATCTTTGTCTGCTAACGCCTCGCCTGCATCACAAATATCGGGGAACATCCCATCTATGTCTTCTTCACTTGAAAACATTGTGCCTGGGACTATACCATTTGGGTAAAATGCTTCAATTAAAGTTTTATTGATACAAATTTCATCATACAGGAATCTGTCTGTGTGTGCAATGCATCCATAAACTGCATTAGAAGCCGACTGAACATCACTAGAGCTTTTATGTGATGTTGATACACCATTTTTAGTCAGTCTCCATGTTATCTTCCCAGTGTCCTCTACTTCAATCTGATCGGTCTCTATATAATCATCCACGTCTCTCTTACTGCAGGAATCAGAGAGAAGGCCCATCAACTCTTCCTCATCCTCTGACTTAAATGTTTCACCTTCTTCTAAACTCTCCACCAAATCTAAATCAATTCCCTGTGCTAACTCATCCCCACATCCTAACTCATCTCCCTGTTCCACAATAACATCTGGTTCCGTCTCTTCTGCTTGCATTGTCTTTTCTGTATGTATTATTTTCTCTGTCTTCCTCTCTTGTGACCCCTCCTGTTCCAGAACTATTTTTCCATGCATTTCCGTCATAAGCGCTCTTGAGTTTGGAGGCCTTTGGCTTTTGTTAGTGTGAAGCATATTGAAGTACATGTTTGAACTGAGATGATGCTGGAGATATTTTCTTGGTTTGGATGCAATTTTTGGTTTGGGTTCTTGATTATCATAGAATTATTCAGAAATAGGTGGTTGACATTGCCCCTTTAAGAGAGGCTCAGCCTGGAAGTGTCCTCTGGGGCCCAGGAAATGCTCCTGAAACCCAATAAGAAAATATTAATATTTACAAAAATAGTTTTTGCTGGAGAGTAGCATTGTGAACATTGTAGAAATTCGGGGCATCAAAAATAGTTCCATCCTCACTGTAAAAATGATTATTTCCTTGAAGATTGCTGGAAAATGTAAATACTATTTCTGTTTCCGCATTTCAAAATTTTGTGTATTATTCAATGTAATTGTTTGTGAAATTTATTGCAATTTCTGAATGAAAATTGTTTTTCAGGGTGATTTATGGGTTAATATTTTCTGTTACAGTTGAATGAAACAGACTGCAGCTATGCACAAAATATAGAATATAAAAAAATTGAATAGAAATTTACAATAAAAATCAGACTTTAGGTACCACATATGATACACGCACAATTCTATAAACATATTTATAAAGTGCTTGAAAAGAGGTTAATTTTCATTAACTTGACAGATTTAAACGTTTTGCTTTTTCTAAGGTCACAGTAAACACTCTACACTTTTTAACTGCATAGTCAATATTTATATGTACTTTTTTGCCTTTTAAACATATATTTTATAATTTTACCTTTGTCACAGACCTAAACTTTAAATGCTAAACTAAATCCATCATAAAAATTATGATCTACACAAAGTGAAATACACCATTTAAATAGGCTATTGTATGTATTGTATGTTTACAATACATATTGTAATTTTCACTACAGGATGTTTCAAACAGCTTACTATGGTGGAAATTGTATTGTTAATTTCTTCAAAAGAAATATTACGTATAAACTATGTTACGTCCACAGCCAGGGCAAAAAGTGCCCATATAGCTTAAGAAATAGGCTATTATCATAAGAAAAATATTAATATGTTACGCTCAAAACAGTGCTGGCATTTTGGTTAAGCAAATAACACATAATATGTTCTACATGAGGCGCAAACAGGATCTTTACAAATATTTAAATAATCTAATCAATCTAATCACATTACAATAACAAAGTGGAATTCTCGAGAAAAAAAAAACTAAACGCGCACTAAAATATCGAAAAGTACGCAACTCTAAACTCGATACTATTTCATGCAACTCTAAACTCGATACTATTTCACATACTTTCAGACATTTAAAATTCCCACAGACACTTATTTCTCTTTTCCTAAATAAATGTATCATACTTGGTTTTCGTTACCACATTATCACGTTAAAAACTCACCTGCGCTCATCGTCGAACATCATCTGGTATCTGAGACACGGCAATGACAGGACAAACTCACGACGCACGATGAAATCGCAATAACATGAGATTATATATCAACTACTGCATTTTCCTACTTCATCTTGCGATATAACTGCAGTACAGGAGAGCAGGCGCTCAGCACGAGGAACGCGCGCAAACACACACACACACACACACACACACACACACACACA